CAGCCCCCCAGGCACGGCGAGGTCTACCTCAGATCCCCGCGGTGCCTCAGTCCGCAGGACCCACCAGCAGCCCTCGAAAGTGGCGACCGTTTCGCAGATCGCAGCCCCGAAAGGACGGCGAGGTCTACCTCAGATCCCCGCGGTGTCTCAGTCCGCAGGACCCACCAGCAGTCCTCGAAAGTGGCAACAGTGTCGCAGATCGCAGCCCCGCCAGGGACGGCGAAGTCTACCTCAGATCCCCGCGGTGCCCCACTCCGCTGGACCCACCAGCAGCCCTCGAAAGTGGCGACAGTGTCGCAGATCGCAGCCCCCCAAGGACGGCGAGGTCTACCTCAGATCCCCGCGGTGCCTCACTCCGCTGGACCCACCAGCAGCCTGCGAAAGTGGCGACGGTGTCGCAGATCGCAGCCCCCCAAGGACGGCGAGGTCTACCTCAGATCCCCGCGGTGCCTCACTCCGCTGGACCCACCAGCAGCCCTCGAAAGTGGCGACAGTGTCGCAGATCGCAGCCCCCCAAGGACGGCGAGGTCTACCTCAGATCCCCGCGGTGCCTCACTCCGCTGGACCCACCAGCAGCCTGCGAAAGTGGCGACGGTGTCGCAGATCGCAGCCCCCCAAGGACGGCGAGGTCTACCTCAGATCCCTGCGGTGCCTCAGTCCGCAGGACCCACCAGCATCCCTCGAACGTGGCGACGGTTTCGCAGATCGCAGCCCCCAAAGGACGGCGAGGTCTACACCAGATCCCCGCGGTGCCTCACTCCGCAGGGCCCACCAGCAGCCTGCGAAAGTGGCGACAGTGTCGCAGATCGCAGCCCCCCAAGGACTGCGAGGTCTACCTCAAATCCCCGCGGTGCCTCACTCCGCTGGACCCACCAGCAGTCCCCGAAAGTGGCGACAATGTCGCAGATCGCAGCCCCCCAAGGACGGCGAAGTCTACCGCAGATCCCCGCGGCCAGCAGCCCTCGAAAGTGATAATTAACAGTCTCGCAGATCGCAGCCCCGAAAGGACGGCGAGGTCTACCTCAGATCCCCGCGGTGCCTCACTCCTCTGGACCCACCAGCAGCCTTCGAAAGTGGCGATGGTGTCGCAGATCGCAGCCCCCCAGGCACGGCGAGGTCTACCTCAGATCCCCGCGGTGCCTCATTCCGCTGGATCCACCAGCAGCCCTCGGAAGTGGCGACAGTTTCGCAGATCGCAGCCCCCCAGGGATGGCGAGGTCCGAACACAGCAAGAGGAAACAAGAGGGGAGCGGGAGGCGGGAAGCGGGAGGAGGAGGAGGACTGGAGACCGCAGTGCTCTACTCAAAACGAATACCCAACCAAAGAGGGTTGGGACAACGCAAGACGGGAGGCGGGAGGAGGAGGAGGACTGGAGACCGCAGTGCTCTATTCAAAACGAATACCCAACCAAGGAGGGTTGGGAAACACAACAGAGCAGAATTGCAGCAATCAGCACCATCCAGCGCCGAGCGGTGAAGAAGGAGCAGAGCCGAACGAAAGTGGATGATAGAAGCTATTGGCACAACAAGGCAGGGGATCTAGTGCAGTCCAAATGGGAGCACGGTTGGGCAGAATAGGTGGCGTGATCAGAGGAAAGCGCAGTTGAACACAACGGCGACGACAACAGCATAGCATAGCAGAACTCACGTGCACCCAATTGCTCCGCTCCCTACGGAATGGTACGCGGCCAAATGCAGAACGCCGTTTTGGTATTACAGGCGTAAGGATCACACCAACTTGCTCCCCACGTTATCTTCGTTACCGTACACATTGCGGGAGTAGTGCCCCAATAGATCTCGCGTTTCCTAGCGAGGGTTTTTTTCTGACCCAAGGTCACACGCAAAACGTATTAGCAACGCCACGCCCCACTCGCAAGAAAATGGAACAGCCCGTGCTGCAACAGCACCGCAGCGGGTTCGGGCCCGCTTGGCCCCGCGGTCGGAGAGGTCGGGAGCCTTCAAGAGAGCACGGCCATCGATTGGGCGAAGCGGCTGAAGAAGTCAAAAGCCTTCCTGATCTCCACCGGGTGGCCTTGTTGCGCCTCAACGGCCGCCTTGGGGACGGAATGGGGTTCGGCCCCTACTCAGCCCCTGCTCGCGCAAACAAGCAGCAGCCCAGATATTCTCGCATCTGCTGGGCCGACGACGCATAAAGAATGGCAGCCCACTCGCGGGGAGCTGCAACCGATTGCAAAGCGGCGGGCCTCCGATTGCAATTGTCGTATATATCGATTCTGCGATTATAGCTTAGGTCGGGCATGTCCTCCTACAGGCGGATTTTGGACAAACCAAATTCAACACTTTCACCACCTACTTTTGATATAAAAGCCCAAACGTGGTCCCCAGACTATGTTTAACTATTTTTGAATACAGTTGGGGCGTTGACCTAAGGAACCCCAAATAAGGAACGAGGCCCCTTTCTTCCATAAGTTACGCTTCGATGTTCCATCAAAAACCAAAGGCAGACCAAAGGCGAACTGTAGAACAACTAAGGAACACTGAGCCCCTCCCAAACAAAAAGGGTTCCTCCTTCAGCGCCCCGACTGTCTTCCTCATGTAGAGGAGCAGGCCCGACTTAAGATTGTGCGCTTTCAAAGGTCGGCACGGGCCGCCTCGCGGACAGGAGAGGAAGGAAGAGGCGAGAGGGCGACGGCCTAGAGGCGGGGCGGCGCGGCGCCGCCTGGGAGGGGAAGGAGGTAGGTAAGGGGAGGAAGAGGCCCGAAGAGGAAGAGGAGGAGGAGGCGAGAAGAGGAGGAGGAGGAGGGAGGAGGAGGAAGAGGAGAAATAGGAGGAGGAGGAGGAGGAGGAGGAGGAGGAGGAGGAGGAGGAGGAGGAGGAGGAGGAGGAGGAGGAGGAGGAGGGGAGGAGGAGGAGGAGGAGCACGCGAGAGGAGCAGGCGGGCTGGCAACGGCCTTGGAAGGGCTGGCGACATGGTAGACAAGAGGTGCCGCGGCGGCAACTTTGGCGGGATGGTCCCGAGGCAGCTGGGCGCCCCTCCCCAGCGGAGGAGAGGCCGCGCCGCGGCGGCCTCGAGGGACCCCCGACCTCCCGACCACCCCCCCGGGACCGGCATTTCATCCCGATCTGTTCTTTGACGGGCCCGAGGCCCGGCGAGGGCCCCGAGAGACAGAAATCTGCAACAAAAACTCCGTCTCGACTTTTGCCGAGGCGCCCCACGTCTGGATCCCGAGGGGTGCCCGCCCCCCACCGCGCGAGAGCGCGGAGGATCTCGGAGGCGGCGGCGGCGGCGGCGGCGCGGCGGCAGCCGCCCCGACGGGGCGCAGAGGGGGCACCCGCCCCCCAGGCGAGGAGGCGCGGCGGACGGCCGCCGGCGAGGCCGGGCGACCGCGGGCGGGCACGCCCGGCCAGCAGGGGCAGTCCGCCGAGGCGCAGGGGCGCACGAGGGGGAGTTGTGCTGACGGGGCCAGGGGGCGCAGTCTGACTAACTTAGTAGCCAACGGCCTCGCGCCGAGGGGCACGATGAAAGCGGGCGACGGGCACCTCCCAGGAGGGGGGCGAGGGAACAACAAGGGGGACTGAGTGCCTCCGTCGGGGAAAAAGGTACCCATCCCACTGAGGGAAAGGCGCCCCGAGGGTACTTCTGTCTCGGGGACAAGCGGATGAGACGAGACAGCTGGGAGCAACAAGCCTCGCTACCTACCGCCAGTTTTCCATGCCGCACCCGCCACTCAGGGCTCAGATCACGACACCCCCAGTGCCGCCCCAAGCCAGCCGAGAGACGCCGCTCCCCCCGCTTACTCCCGCCCCCCCGCACGCGCTGGGCGGGGCACCCTAGCCGTGGGGATCCCCCGATGAGCCGCCCGCAAGCGACCCGCGTCGCCGCCCGATCCCTGGCGGGGTACCAGGTGGGCCACCGCAAGGGGGACGCAACGTGACGACGAGAATGCAATTTTCTCCCACCCTGGCAATGGCGACGATCGGGCTGAAAATTCGCTTGATCTGCTGGGACGCCCGAGGGCACCCAGTGGCACAGGTGCTGGCGCACGAGGAGGAGGAAGAGGAGGAGGAGCAGGAGGAAGAGGAGGGGGAAGGGCAGGAGGAGGAGGAGGAGAAGAGGAGGAGGAGGAGGAGGAGGAGGAAGAGGAGGAGACGGAGAAGGAGAAAAAACAGGAAGAGGAGGAGGAGGAGGAGGAGGAGGAGGAGGAGGCGAGGAGGAGGAGGACGGAGCAGGACCAGGAGGAGAAGGAATGAGGAGAAGGGAGGAGGAGGAGGAGTTGAAGGGGAGAGGGGGAGGAGGGAGGAGGAAGTGTGCGGAGGAGGAGGAGGAGAGGAGGAGTGAGGAGGAGGAGGAGGAGGAGGAGCAGGAGGAGGAGTGAGGAGAAAGAGGAGGAGGGGGGGAGGAGAAGACGATGACATCAGGTTGACGTGACCGCCTGTCCACATGCGCGGAGGAGGAGAGGAGAAGGAGGAGAGGAGGAGGAGAGGAGGAGAAGGAGGAGGAGGAGGAGAAAAACTAGGAAAGAGGAGGAGGGAATAGGAGGAGGAGAGGAGGAGGAGGAGCAGGAGGAGGAGGAGGAGGAGGAAGAGGAGGACGACAAGGAGAAGGAGGAGGAGGAGGAGGGTAGAGGGAAGGGAAGGAGGAGGAAGGGACCGGAGGAGGAGGGCCAGCAGCACGGAGAGGGTGTGAGCATAGCCGCCCGCGGCAGGGCCCAGTAGTGGCCAGGAGCTCGCCGCCGAGGCATCGGCGATGTGAGGGCAGCTGGTGCAAAGGACCAAAGGAACAAGTGAACCAGCCACTCTCCTCCTCTCCCCTCCTCTCCTCCTCCTCCTCCTCCTCCTCCTCCTCCTCCTCTCCTCCCCCCCTCCTCCTCCTTCCCTCGACCTCCCTCCTCCTTCCTCCTCCTCTTCCTCTCCGCCTCCTCCTCCTTCCTCCCGCTGGCCGAGAGCAGGCTGCGCGAGTACGATCGCTCCGCCCGACCCCCTCTGCGGCGTTAGGCCCCTAGGGGGCAAAGCCCCAAGGCGACAGGTTGGGCCCAGCGGCGCCTCCAGCGCGGCAGCAGCCTGGGGGGGGGCAGGGCGAAGCGGGAGGGGCGCTTACCTTCCTGCTACCTTCCTCCTCTTCCTCCATTGTCAATCCTCCTCCTCCTCCTCCGTCTCAGAATACGCCGCTTGATCCTACAACTCCTTAGCAGCCTAACTGCCGAGCCCTCCGTACTCTAGAGCCCCCTGTAGCCATCCTCCCGCACGCCCACTCAGACTAACGCAACGCAGTACCGCAGCAAACTCCTCTCCTCATCCTCAGCCTCCCCTAATCTCCAGCAGCCTCCTCCTCCCCCGCCCACTAACAATACGACCTCATGAGCCGCCTCCTCCTCCTCCCCTCCTCCTCAGTACATCCTCCGCACGCCACAAATCATCTCACCTCCTCCTATTTCAAGAACCCCGCCTCATCTCAGCTCCTCCTCCTCCTCCTCGTCATCCTCTCACCTTCTCATCATCCTCATCACCCTCGTATTGTTAATCGTCTTACTATTGGTACCAATACTATCATTATTATTATTGTTTATGTTCGCCGTAATAGTAATACTGTCAGTCATATCGCTGGTTATGCTATCATTACTTTTAAACGTAGCATGCGTATTAGGACTATTATAGTAGTCGTATGGTGTGTTCTTACTCGTGTTTCGATTATTCGTGCTTGTATCAATTTTCTCTTTTAGACGATTAGTGCTCGTCCTCGTAGTATTATTATTATTATGTATCGTAGACTTGGTAGTATGTTTCTTCGTAAAATTACTATTCTTTGTTACATTAATGTTCCTGCTGATATGATTCACCGGACGCATCGTACGGAAGCGGGGCCCGCCGCTCCTCCACACGCCTGAATCCGTACCTGCGCTTCGTGAGCAAGGACTGGCCGTCCCGGCATTCCTATGGGCCTACCACGACCCCAGAGATCCGATGCCGTGATTTTTTCAATACGGGGTTCCGGGCAGTCTCGACCCATTCCCCTGGACCGGTTTTTCGTCCTGAGTCGTTGTTTTACGGTCCCAGGGCCCGGCGAGGGCCCCCAGAGGCCAAAAATAGCAAAAAACATCCGTCTTGATTTTTTCAGTGCGTTCGATCTCTGGGAACACGACGCCGCGGACGACGGCGACGCCGACGACGACGCCGCCGGCGGCGGCCGCACCCCTCCTCCTCCTCCTCCTCCTCCTCCTCCTCCTCCTTCTGCTGCTCTTCCTCCTCCTCCTCCTCCTCCTCCTCCTCCTCATCCTCCTCATCTCCTCCTCCTCCTCGCCTCCTCCTCCTCTCTCCTCATCTCCTCCTCTTCTTCCTCCTCCCCTACTCTCCTCCTCCCCCGGGCACGCCGGCCGCGCCTCCCGCAAGGGCCTCGCCGCCTCCGCGGCGAGCTGCGCGTGGGGCCGCCTGCGCGCGCGGGTTGCGCGGGAGCGCCCTGAGAAGGAGGAGGCGGAGGAGGAGGAGGAGGAGAGGAGAGGGAGTAGAAGGAGGAGGAGGGAGGAGGGAGGAGGGAGGAGGAGGAGGGAGGAGGAGGGAGGAGGGAGGAGGGAGGAGGGAGGAGGAGGAGGGAGGGGGGGGGGGCGGCGCTGCGCCCTGCGCGGGGCGCCTGCGAGATCGCCTCCGATAGAATCTCGTCGCAGGGGTTCCCAGTCGGTTTCCCAGCGTGGCGCTGCTCAGTGGGAGCCCTCTGCAGCGGGCCTCCACTTGGACTTCTACTGCAGCGCCTTCCAATGGGAGCCCTTTTGTGGGGGCGCTTGGGAGGGCGATACGGTAGGGGCTCGGCCACGAGAAACCTCCCACCAGAAAACCACCCCGTGGCCCCAGGACGCCCATGGTTCTTCGGTGTTGGAACGTCACGCATCCCACAGTAGATGGGGTCGGAGGATCGCGCCGCATCGCCGATACATCGGCGATGCATTGGCAATGCGTCGGCGATGCACCAGAGATGCATTGTCGACGTCGGCGGTGCATCGGCGACGTCGACGTGAAGCAAACCGGCCTGCACATCGAGCCGCATCGGCGGCATCGGCGATGCGGCGCGATCCTCCGTCCCCATCTACTCCGACCCCATCTAGGAGGCCTAGAACCTCCGCCCGAGGCGACGGCACTGGCGGCGGCGACGGGGGCGGGGCAGCATCTGCTCGACCCGGGGCACGGCAGCGGCGCCCACGCCGACGGCGCCGCCGACGGCGCCGACGGCGCAGGCGGCGGCGGCGCCGGGGAGGACGCCGGCGGCGACCACGGCGGCGACGTCGGCCGCGACGGCGGCGACGGCCGCGGCGGCTGCGGCAGCGGCCGCGGCGGCGGCGGCGCGTCGGGCGGCCGCCTCGGCGCTCTCGGAGCCCCTCCGCGACAGGAAGCCGCGGAGGTCCGCCACCCGCCCGCGGAGGGCGGCCAGGAACTGGGCCTCGCCGCCCTCGGGGGCCTCCTGCGGCCCAAGAAAGGCGGCGGCCCCCCCGGGGCGCACGCCGCCGCCGTCGGCGCGGTCGGCACGGTCGTCGCCGCCGCCGTCGCCGCTGCGGTCGTCGTCGCTGCTGCCGCGGTCGTGGTCGTGGCCCTCGGTCTCCCCGTCGTCGTCGTGGCCGTCGTCGCCGTCGGCGCCGCCGTGGCTGTCGCCGCCGGCGTCGAAGCGGAGGTCGTCGAGGCAGCCGTGGTCGTGGTCGCGGCCGTGGTCGCCTTGGCCTGAATTAGCATCCCCTGGAGGTCTTCAGAGATCCCCGCGGCCTCTGGAAGCCCGCACGAAGCGGCCGAGGGTGAAATCGTCCCAGCACCTCGGGTACTAGACCCCACGAGTCATGAAACAGAAGCCACGAAGCATCGGGTGGCTTTTTGGCAATGTTCGGACTCCAGGGGCCTCGCAGGGCCCCCGGACCGTCAAAGAAACGACTCGGGACGACAAGCTGGCCCCTGGGAAGTGGGTTGAGACCTAGGAGGGCCCACGGCGTGAAGGAACCACGATGTCCCAAATCTGGAGAGGCAGCTGCTGAGAAATGATTTAAGAGAGCGATGAAAGGCGATTAGGCCTGGCCAACGAGCGATGAAGCTGGACTGGGCCAGATCCGGCCCAGGATAAGGCCGAATAGGGCGGGACGGATGCCAGATTGAGCGGGATCGAGCTGGATTAAGACGGCCTTCGACCAAGGGTGTGTTAGCGCCGATTCAGAATCCAACTCTCAGGAGTTGCAACCACGACCGACCACATGCACAGCTGCCGAAATCCTGGCTCCATGGGGAACGGTGGGTGTGGGATACTCTCACACCCTCAGGGGCGGATGTCGATCCATGCCCACCGCTCCTCGAGAAGTCCTCGAGGCCCGGGGCACGACTCGTAACCCGTCCCTCCCAGGAGGAGGAAGAAGAAGAGCGGAATGACTATGCACTGCCGGAGGTCCGCGCGGATCTCGGAGCATGGCTGTCCTTGCCGCAATTTCTCCCTCTGCTCCCCAGACCTCTGAGTTCTTACTGTTTCCCAATGCAGAGAGTCCCCAGACCTGTGGACCACCTCGCTTCCTGGCGGTCCCGAGGCCCGGCCAGGGCCATTCTTTCGATACAGTGACGGCTAGCCCGCAAGAAACCTCCCACAAGAAGCCCAACCCTGAGAACCCAGGACGTCCATGGATTTTTGGTGTGGGAGCGTCAAGCCCTCCATCGCAAAACCATCGACACCCAAGAAACCTAAGGGCCCCCTGTAGGCAAGCAGGGTGCTTTTTGGCGTGGGTCTCCACCTGTACGGGGCCCCCGGAGCCTTGGACCGCTTCGTGCTCCGGCGGCCCCGAGGCCCAGCCAGGGCCCCCCTGACTCCGAAAGCGAAGAGGAGCCTCCGCCCTGTGCTTTTGCTCGATACAGTGGGGGCACATGCCAAGAACCACCCTGCTTGCCTCCAGGGCGCCCTGGGTTTCCTGAGTTCCGATGGGTCTGCCGAGGAAGGCGCGACGCTCCCACACCAAAAATCCATGGACGTCCTGGGGTCCCAGGAATGGACTTCCTGTAGAAGGAATCTTGTGGTCGGGCCCCTACTGTACATCCGCCCGTGTCTTCTCCTCCTCCTCCTCCTCCTCAACATCCCTCCTCCTCCCTCCTCTTCCTCCTCCTCCTCCTCCTCCTCCTCCCTCCCTCCCTCCTCCTCCTCCTCCTCCCCCTTCTCCTCCTCCTCCTCCTCTCCCCTCCTCCTCCTCATCTTTCCTCCTCCTCCTCCCTTCCTCCCCTTCCTCCTCCTCCTCTTGCAGCCGGCGCAATCGTGCTTGCCATCAGCCTGGCCCGCTCGAGCGCGCATGCGGAGCGCCTCTGCCGCGCGGCGCCGGACGAGGCTGGCTCCGTGCGCTGGAGGTCGGAGCGTTCGTCCCCAGAGATCCAGCGCATTAAAAAAATCAAGACGGAGGTGTTTCGCAAATTTTGGCCTCTCGGGGCCCTCGCTGGGCCTCGGGACCGTCAACAAAACGACTCAAACGACTCAAGACGAAAAGCCGGTCCCCGGGAAAAGGGTCGAGACTTCTGGGGACCCCGTGTTGAAAAAATCACGACGTCGGATCTCCGGGTCCCGACATAGCGTCGACGTGTTTGGTCCATGCGCGGCCCCGGAGGTCCCGACGGTATTCTCGGGGATAGTTCTTTTTCGTCCAAGAACAATTCTGCCCTCGTCGCTCCAGGGATTTAGCAGTAGTTTCAGGTCGGGCGTGTCCTCCTACAGGCGGATCTTGGACGAGAAGTGAATACTAGTCAACAAGCTCAAGCCTAGTCAAACATACATGTAAATTCGTCCCCAAACTATTATTTCACTATTTTTGAAGACTCCTCCTGCAGAGGGACACGCCTGACCTAACAACAGCAAAATCGGGAGCGGCCAAAAGGGGGTGTCCAAGAGGGGCGGGTGCAAATCATGACCGGCGGCATGTGCGCGGCCCAGCGGGGGGGCCTGGGAAGCAATGAAAGAAGAAGAGGCGCCATGAAATCTGAGGAAACATCATGGCTCGCGCCATGAAATCAGAGGAAAAATCATGGCCCGCGCCGTGAAATCCACCCCCCCCTAGTCATCACCCCCCTCTTTTCTGCCCCCGACAAGCGAGGACCGCAGAAAAGAACCCCACAGGGGAGACCCGGTGCCCGAGGACGCAGGTCTGGCAGCCGCTTCGCCTGAGACTTCCTCACGCTCTACTCGAGACTCGTGCCCTCGCAGACACAGTCGAGGCGTTGACCTAAGGAACCCCAAATAAGGAACGAGGCCCCTTTTTGCGTAAGTTCAACCTTGATTTCCCATGGAAAACCTCAGGAAAACCCGAGGCAAACTGTTAAACAATCAAGGAACACCGAGCCCCTCCCCAAAGAAAAGGGTTCCTTCTTCAGCGCCCCGACTGTATTCGAGACTCGTGCTCTCGCAGATACGCTGCGGTGCACATGGCAGTGCTCTCGCCCATGTCTCGCCTGTCAGCGTCCCTGGGAATCCTCAGGAACACGCAGGAGTGCACGTTTTCGCTCGCCGACCTATGACCCAAACGTCCGACAGAGGTGACCGAGGGCCGAAATCAAGAGAAACGCCCGGACAAAATACAACTACATCGACGGAGATCCCTGACTTCTGATCCGCCGTACTTTGTCCGACTTGACATTGGATCGGAAATGAACCTCAAACGATACGAACAAATAACGCGAAAACTTCTGCCTCAGAACGGCAGGGCTGATGTTTCCACACAGGTATGGCGGGAACAGGGACGGCAAGGCAGGGCGCAAATCGACACCTGAGGCGCTTGAAAAGCAGGGCGGGAATAGCGGCCCTACTTGCGAAGTCGCCCAAAAGCACGACGGAGCCGAAGCCGAGGCGAACGTTTTCTTATTCGGCGCTTCGACAGTGGGCGGAAGGGGCGGGGGAAGGGGGGGGGGGTCCTGGCCCCAGACCTCTGATTAGCGCGACAGGATGCAACGGGCGCCAAAAACGGCCAAGCTCTGGCTACTCCCTGGGGGGGGGGGGAGGCGGGCGAGGGCCCGCGCCGATCGGCAGAAGCCATGCACAAGGCCCCCTCTGTCCTTAGTGGGCCCTGGAGTTTCTCTGCCACTTCCCACGCCGTTTTTGTACCGGTTCCGTCGCCGTTTTTTGACCGCTTCCGGCTCCGGTTCCAATCCTGGAGCCGTTTTTGTTGCCGTTTCCGGTCGCCGTTTTTTTTGCCGTTTCCATTTTCAATGGACATTTTTTTGGAAACGGTGAAAAAGCGGCCCTGCCGTTTCCGGGGCCCACAAAGCCCGGAGGAGGAGGAGGAGGAGGAGGAGGAGGAGGAGGAGGAGGAGGAGGAGAAGGAGGAGGAGGAGGAGGAGGAGGAGGAGAGGGGAAGGGTTCTCAGGAGGCCTGCCATGCACAGGGCCCCCCCCTGTCTGCGAGATCCGGCTCTCGGATATAACTCGGCCCCCCCCCCCGCGGCGAGGGCGCTCCGAGGCCGGAGCGCCCCCCCTCAGAGCCCCGCGGAGCAGAACGGAAGCTCGGCGCCCTCGCATCCTCGCAGGGGCCAGGGCGCCTTTTCTGGGGAGACGGAAAGGGTCGGCTGCACGCAAGAGGGACCCCCTCGCCGTCGCTCGGACGTCCATTCCCCGTGCATTTGTCGGTTTCGTGCGCGTTTTTTCGGTTTCGTGCCTGTTTTTGTCCGTTCCCTGTGTTTTTCCTAACCATCCTGTGGTGTTGGGTCCTCGTTTTGAAGAGACGGTGCCCCGCGTTCCTCTCCTCCTTCCTCCTCCCCCTCCTCCCTCCTCCCCCTCCCTTCTCTCTTCCGTCAGAATGATCATCTGCAGCATCATCCTCATCCACATCCTCATCCTCATCATCGTCTTCATCATCGTCCCCACCGCCCATGTCGTCACACCCCTCACACGTTTCGTGGCCCCATAGGGAGCTCCACCGAAGGTCCCACTGGGGGCGTTCGCATGCGTCTCCCCCACCCAGGACAGCGTTTCGTGGCCCCATAGGGAGCTCCACTGAAGGTCCCAACAGGGGTGTTCGCATGCGTTTCCCCCACCCAGGACAGCGCTTCGTGGCCCCATACATAGGGAGCTCCACCGAAGGTCCCAATAGGGGTGTTCGCATGCGTCTCCCCCACCCAGGACAGCGTTTCGTGGCCCCATAGGGAGCTCCACCGAAGGTCCCACTGGGGGTGTTCGCATGCGTCTCCCCCACCCACGACAGCGCTTCGTGGCCCCATAGGGAGCTCCACCGAAGGCCCAAGTGGGGGTGTTCGCATGCGTCTCCCCCACCCAGGACACTGTTTCGTGGCCCCGTAGGGAGCTCCACCGAAGGTCCCAATAGGGGTGTTCGCATGCGTCTCCCCGACGCAGGACAGCGTTTCGTGGCCCCATAGGGAGCTCCACCGAAGGTCCCAGTAGGGGTGTTCGCATGCGTCTCCCCCACCCAGGACAACGTTTCGTGGCCCCATCGGAAGCTCCACCGAAGGT